GGGGGCGGGTATGGGGGCGGGGCCGGGACCCTGATTTTATCAATCGGAAAAAACCTGAACCCGAACTCGATAAACACGGGTTTTCCCCTTCCAAATCGGGGTGGGTTCGGGCAGGTACCCACGGAGGCGAGTTAGATTGTCATGCCTACTTTTGATATAAAATCAGGTTTTCAATGTGAGAAGTGACAATAAATATTTTAATATATATTTTTATCATAGATAAAAAGTTATTAGAAATTATAAATTATGGATAAGATTTAATACATAAAAAAAATTATAAAATTGTGAGAAATTTTTAGTAAATTTTAGCTAATAATAAAATGATTTGAAATTAAAACTTTAATAAAAAAATAATCAATTTAAATTAACCAGTTGATAATAATAATAATAAATATATAAATATATTAAAAAAACTAAGAACCACTTGAATTTAGTTTAGTTTTAAGTTTTAAAATAAATTCACTTGAAAATATTTGTCTTACTAAAATTAGTTTAAGATAATATTCATGTGATAATGATAATATTGGTGATAATAGTGACAATAATAATAACAATAACAATCATAACGTTAATATTGGTCGTAGCCATATAAGTAATAGGATAATGATAATGTTATTAGTGATGGTGGTAATGATAATGTTAGACGTGATGGTGATGAAATGTCAATGATAGCTATAATAATAGTGCTATTAGTGGTGATGTCAATGTTGTGTTAATGATTTTAGTGATGTCATTATTAGTATTATACTAATGATTGTATGGTGATAATGATCAAGGTTGTCAAATATAGTAAAATTTTATTTTTAAAAAAAATAATTTATTTTTGTTTTATTTTGAAAATGAATATAAAAATGTTTTGAAAGTAAGTTAAAAGATCATTTCATCTCTATTTTTGTCATTTTGTTTTTAAAATTGTGTTTGAAAAACAAAAATAATAAAACTCGCAACCAACTAAAACAGGCCTAAGTTTGTGTATATTTGTTTTATAAACACCATTGATCAAAATTAATTAGACTTAAACAAAATAAATTATTTAAAACTAATTTAATTTGTATATAATTACTGTTTTTGGTTTAATTCTAATATAAACAAATTGATTAGATTTTTAAATCAAGAATAAGGATCATTCAAAATTCAAATAAAATTTTCGCCTTTACATTTAACCTTGTGTTTAATCTATTATCATAAAAATGTTAATTTAATCTCTATATGTATTTTAAATTTGTTTCGATTATTTATTAAATATTGAGATTAATTTATAATAAGCATAAAGTACAGGGATTAAAGAAAATAGATATTTTTATAACAATTAAAAATATGATTTTTTTTACAATAAAAATGTGGTGTTCGATCTTTATGCATCACACTCAAATTACTGTGGTTTTTTTGTAGAAAAAGAAATATCATAACTTCTTAATTCCTAATAGAGGTGGTACAAGAGAGATAAGGCCATGTTCAAATTAGATAATTCTTCAAGTGGACGTTGGTCTAGAGACATGAGAGATGTAGTAAAGCACAATAAGTAAGATGGTTCTGACAAATGATCTATAAGGTGTTGAGCTCAACTGTGATAAACCCGATCCTATTATTAGTATGTTTGATTTATTGTGAAAAATTCTCAACTGCTTATAACGTGAAAGCAACAAATTCTTGCTTGTCATTTTTCTGCTTTGGAACGTTGCTTCTCATTTTTCTACTTTGGACCCATTTGTCAGTCCAAACGGCAAAACATGTACTATATTTAGCGGTAGTAGTTGGTCAAGATGCCAAGCTTCGACCACTATGACACCCCAAGTTGAATCCATTGGACTGGGTCTATCAAGAGGCCCGGCCCAGTACGGAAAATTCCATTATTTTAACAGAAACCGTAAGCATTTTCATTTACTTTTAATTAACGAAAATGTCATATTACCTATTGAACCCGTCAAAGTTTCCCACATAGAATGCTCCAAATTGATATGAACGGTCAAAATTGTCTTTTAGATCCATCATCTCTTTTGCTCCATGCTGCTTATCACGTTGCATTGTTGTTTCAGGGAATATATGCGGTATAATATGGTAATCGGGCACAATAAAATCACTTGGTTTCAAATGTAACTTTGTAATATACACATTAGACTCAAGTAATTTAAAACACCGAAGGTCTCAGACAGAACCAGAAGTTTCAAGTGGAAGCATAAAATTGACAAATATTTGTCTTAACCCACCATTCAGCAACGCATATCACGTAGCATCTCAAAAGCCTGTAAACTAGTACCAGCATCTATTGCAATATAAACAAATTCTATGACAAATAAATACATAGTGATCATAAATACATGAATTATGTCATATAGTTTTATTAATAGCAAATTACATTACATCGTACAATCTGAAATACAAACCAGGGTTCACCAATCTATTCCCAAGTTTCTAGAAACAAAGAGTTTGTCAATATATTGGATTAGAGTTGCGGATGCCGTGACATAACTTTGCATTTGGACTTTTGCTGACGCCTCTGAAGCAATGACGCCAACAACAAATGAAAAAGAAAAGAAAAATGAACATCAGAATCACCTCAACTTCAATTTACTAGACAAATTTGAAAAAAATAATCTTTGACAATGACCCTCCCTTGTCCTATTCTTCTACACTGTCTTGATTTACCTTTGAGAATAATCGCAAGAAACAATATGATCAAATAAAATAGATTTAATATTCTCTCTCTGGATTTTAACAGTGAGCAAAGGACGCACAGACATAGAATTCATATAATTTCGGTTTTAATGTTTTATGCTTCAACAGGCTGCTAAGGATGTAGATACGTGGCTACAAGGTGAAATTGGGATCTTAAAAAGAAAAGCTATATCATCAAAAGTGGTGGCAGATTAGTATCAGTATATTACTATTTACTATGCCCCAAACGTCAACTAGAGATGCAACTGCTAGCCTAGAAAAGGTAGGAAAATTTGATAAAGTATTCACCATTCCTAATTCATCATAAATAGGTTTCACATAGATCATCTTTCTCCCTACCTGCCTCCGCTGCTCAAGCTCCAGAACCAACTACACTTTTAAGTAATATTTTTTCAGGATTTAGTGTTTAATAAAACTGCAAGCAAACTTAATCCTACACTTACCATCCTCATTGAGTTTCGTCAAAAGTTGTTCCTTTGTAGGAAGGACATACATTCCCGCAGAAACAGCCTTCCTGATCGCCCAACCATGGTGAGGTGCAAACACCTGTTCATAAGCCTTGGAAGCTGGATCCCTAAGGGAATTACCCCTGCCAAAAAGACGTACAGTAACTGAGCTCATTTACTATCAGAGCTAACACCAAGTGTTTCTTACACATAGATGTATTTGCTGTGCTGCTCGTTTAATATAAGAAACAAACATTTGTTAATTTAAACATGTATTAAATAATGTAACCCACCTTGGCACAAAGAGGTATCAAGTCTAAGGAGAGAAACAGAAACCAAAAGGAAAATATCTCTTGTTATCAAGTTCTACTATTTTTCTAGTTCAAACTGGTTTGGCCATGAGACTGATCAGAAGATTGAACCTGAACCAATTGGTTGATGAGAGTACTGGACTATGCTTACTGGTCACTAGTTGCTAGTTATAAAGGTGAGATAATTTGATCAGTCACCAGCCTTAACAGATTGTTCCTATTATTGACAGATTGTTCAACTAGAAACTTTTCTTGAAGTAAAGATACAGATTCCAAAATAACAATAACATGGTACACCAACAAGCTTGTAGCTCAGTTGACACTAACCCCATCCTTTAAGATTGGGTCTGATAAAGTTGAAGGTTCGACACACAACTAGGCTGGCCACCTATTTTCCTCATGAACTAAATAAAACTAAAGTGGCAAATGTTTTAATCCTAATGGTTCCAGTCATAAGAAGCAAAAGCGGAAGACCTCAATTGTCACTCTCCTTCCTCCACACTGACTGCTGAGCACCCATAGATGAAAGCTGAAGCAATCCCTTCAGTTTCATTTCACTCTATTTCCACACTTCAGCCAGGTTTTAAAAACAGCCAGCAACCACAATCTCCAACTTCAAGGTTTTGTGATCTCCCTCACCACATCACCATCGCAATTGCAGCTGCATTTGTTCACAATTTTCCACGCTATCAAGAATTGCAACTAAAATGCGACCACACGACCAGCCTAAAGATAAAGCTACTAAAGCTAAGCTTCAAGTCCACCAACAAAAAATTATTTATTATAAGCTTTCATAAAGCAAGAAAGTAACATAAGCCAGCGAAAAAACCTCAACATATAACTCTCATTTGAAGTAAGAAAAAATCTCTCAAATTTTGCTTCAGGCGTCACTTAAAGTTGGACCTGCATCGTGCGACCACAATTTAAAACCATGTTCACTTGCATCTATTATCTATAACTATATATGAAGACAATTCCATATTTTGGTATACACATTGTTTTTGACAACCTTAGCCCTTTATAAAAATCATATCATAATAATTAATAATGGTCACAAAATTCTTTTTTTGAAGTTAAAACTGTTATTGAATTTCAGTAACAACATACTACACCCACTAACACGTGTGCATCTAAAGGGAGACACCATAGAAGCACGAAGTGCCTTCTTTTCCACAGGTCTTAAACTCTTAATTAAAGTTATTGAAAGCACAATGTAGCATTGTTTAGTTAGAAAAAAAAAAGAAGCAAAAAGCAAATAGCAAATGGGTGAGTGAAGCACATACTGAGTAACTAAAATTTGCTCAAAGAGCACTCTGACCATGTCAAGTCCTCGCTTCACTCTGAGCAGATTCCGCGTATGGCTACCAGCCTTCCTCACAGAGTCACCTTTCACATCCAGATCAACCAGAGACTGCAACGTCTCAATAGACTTGGACGCCTCAGCCAGATCATGAACCTACAAATAACATCAAGTGTTCTCTCTCCGTATATTTGTATCGCTAGGGTTTGAATTATGACGGAATAAACAAAGGTTGATAAGTACCTTGGCGACGTAATCCATTTCGGCGAACTTGAAGGCGACGCCCAAGCAGCCGAAGAGAGGGGAGACGAGGGAGCAGGCACGAGAGAAGGAGGCGACATCGAGGTCTGCGGTGGCCGAATCGGTGACGACGGTGGAAAGGGCCTTGAATGCGTCTGCGATTTTGCGCAGCGTTTTGTCACCATTCGCCTCCGCCATCGGAAACGAAGCTGCGCACTCTTCTTCTTCTCACTTCCTCTACGCTGCTCAATTCTTCTGCTCTGTGCTGAATTGCAGCGATTGCTTCTTGGGTTCTCCTTCTCTACCTCTACAAGACAACAAGGACAACGCTTGAAGCTCAAGCACCTTTCTTTGCAATGTTAAAAATAGAATCACTGCATTTTACAATATTTTTAATTACAATTTTTAGTTCTATTTTATATTTTTTATATAATATATCGGATCAATTTATTTATTTTAAGAATAAATTTATATTCTGTACCCCAATTTAACGATTCGATCATTAAATTAATTTTTTTTAATATATATAGATCAAATATATAAATTTTTAAAAATTTGAACTTTTATAAATTTTATAAAATAATTTTATGATTATTTATCAATTTGAATTAATAAAACAAAATATTAAGTAATTTTTAAATTTATTAAAATTTGTAAATTTAATTTATCTATTAAGAATTTTTTATTTAATAATTTAATTATTAAAATTTAATATAAAATATAAATTATTGAGTAAAATAAGTCTAGATAAACTTACTCATAATATTTTTCATTTTCTGTATATATATTTATTTTTAATTTTTTATCAGTATCTTAAAGTCTTAGATTAATTTAATTCAATTAAAAATAAATAAAGTCTGATTAAAAACTAAAAAATAAAATTTATGAAAATACAAAATTATAAGAATAAATAAATACATATCTATAACACTTTTGGTCAAGAAAACAATGTGTTTTTTTATAGATCAAAACAAGTTTTCCTCCTTTGTTCATGACGTTCTTACATTTTCTTAACACATGGAAGCAATGCATGTTTATTAAATCAATTTGATCATACATATACATATATATATATATAACATAGACAATTAAAATAAATAAATCATTCTATCCAATCCATGGCATCTTTTAGTAAAATTCCATAGCGATATTGAAATCAAATAAGTAAATTAAAATTATATTAGACACTGGCAGTCCCAAATTAATAAATGATACAAGGAAAAGGGATGAACTGAAAATCAAGAGGAATGAAATATATTTAACAAGTATGAAGCTAATAACACCGAGCACCAGTGGTCTAGTGGTAGAATAGTACCCTGCCACGGTACAGACCCGGGTTCGATTCCCGGCTGGTGCAAAACTGTAAAGGAACTGTGATGATATTTACAAGTGATTGTGGGTCAATCACACTCATCTAATAAATAGGATGACATTGCACAACTGAGTTCCTTAGCTTTTTTTTATTTGTTGTCCCATTTGTATCCTTTGCTATTACTTTTGTTTGCTGGGATGACACATGCTTCTTGTTTAGACACATAACATGTTGCATATTTATATTATCTTTACTTTCACAACTTTTTTTACACAATTTTTTAATTGTTTTATCCTTATAATTTATAACTACCTATAACTTACTTATCTACATTTCTTTATCAAAATTTCTCTTCTATATTTTTTAGAACACTTTTTCTCACTTTTCTAACAACCAACTACTCTATTATTTCAATCTTTTTAAGAACAATAGAGGAGCATGGAATACCTCTCCTATGCTAATAAAAAGAGTTTTTCTATCTACAAGTGTAATTTTGGTTTTATCAAAATATTGTCAATTTAATTAATATAAATTTATATTGTATAGGAGTTTATTGGGCTTCACCAATTTTTATAAAAGGTTATAAGATATGGTAATGATTAAAAGGTATGATCTACGTAATTAACTTATGTAATTAATGCAAATAAAGTTTTTATTTATATTTCACTATTTGAATAATCTATTTCTATTATTATATTTATATATATAGATAAATTTATTTTTTTATTTACTTAATATGGTTGGTAAGTGATTAAATATAACTCAAATATTATAAAGAGTATGTTTTGGATAACTCAAACAATAAACCCTAAACCCTAAACTCAAACACTTACAGAATAAGAAAAAAAATTTCTAGAAAATAAAATTAATTTATGCATAATTTAAAAATAAAATTTTCAACAAGTTAATATAGAAATTTTACAAATTAATTTATGTGTAAATTAATTTTAACTTATAAATAAACTGATTTTATTATTTTCTTCTACTTTTTTTCTATCAGAAAAATTTATTTAAGAAAATCCTAAATACGAGTTCTTATTTTTCCGACAACGCCTCTCTCTATATATCTGATTACCAATTACACTTTTCTAATTTTTATTGCAAAAATACCCTTTTATTATAAAAGGTATAAATCCTCTGTTTTTGCCCTTCGTCCTCAAACCAAAAGCATTGAATGTAATACTTAGAACTGAACTAACAATACCTGTTGGGCTTGGCTTGAACAAATCCGTGATCGACAAGAGATTAGTTGGGCTTGTATTATTGAGCCCAATATTTCGTAAATATCGTTCTAATAGCCCATTTTTTATTTTTCACATTTCTTATGTTCGTTAAAAAAACAAATAAAAGAACCAATAGTGCAATAAATTTTAAAGCATTATTTACAAATATAAACATTCAATATCAATTATCATTATAAGTTAACCACAACAAATCTCTCGTTCCTAGTTGAAGAACCAGAAAATGTTACATTTTAAGAAGCACCAGTTGATTAACAAGATAAATACTTTCGGAATGAGGTTTATATATAAAGAAAGAAAAAAAATGAAAAATAGAATGAAAATATATTTGATGAAAAAGTATAGAAGAAATGTGTTTAAATTTTAGTGGAAACTATCTTCTATTTTCAACCTACCGTGTATTCTCTTATGCATCCAAACTCTGCAAATATGGGTTTATATGTTTTAAAGTTAGAGGGAATTAAGTTTGATCAAAAAAAATTGAATTATCGAATATAATTAGATGTGTTTTGAAATTATTTCAGTCATAAATTTAATCATATTTTTTTAACTATATTATTGATATGGAGTTTTATCGATTTCACCCAAAATCTTACTTAAGTGAAAGAGATTGAGACCAGGTCAATGTTTTGTTGGCATAAATTTAATAATTTACATTCAAACTTGCATTTTTTTTTACAGAACATGCAATTTCATTAAAAATATGATAATTGTTTTTCAAAAGTTTAAAATTAAATAAACATGAACCGAGGCATTTGTTACTTTTGTACTGCTTTTCCTGTACCAAATAGTGGTCCTGTTTAGTATGAAGAAAAATCTTTTCTTCATAAATTTTGAGAATTCCTTTTACAAAACGTAATGGTTAGTGACCACTTGGTTTCAAAATACTAAAGGCTTCTTTGGGACATAAGGCCTACACTACACTAACGTCAGTAACGTGTCATGCGCATTTATTCATCGTGCTATACGATATTCATGCCTGCAACTAAAATTGATTCCAATGAGTTAATAATTTAGGTTGAGGTCGGCTTCTAGGTTTGAAGAAACATTTGAAAAATGGTTCATTGGTGGTGGTCCTATAAAATTACCAGCTACAGAAGATGAGATAAGTGCGGTTTTAGTAGGTTAGTTGAATAATTTTTTAACAATTTTCAAAACTGCAAATAAATATGGCAGACCATATTTTTATTACTAAATAAATAAATATTGATGCTGAATTAGTTAGCTGAGTGCACATCAAGAAACAAAATTCAAACTTAATTAATGGTTTGATCGTACAAATTGCTTGCTGAATTAATTAGCAGGACTCAATTCAATGGCTGTAAGGGATTGAAAACCCCAATTTGTTTTTACTAAGAAAGATGATTTTTTTTTTTCTTTCAGTATTTTACTATTTTCTTTTATTTTCATCTCCATGGCATATTGGGAAAGTAAATTTGGAATTGACGCAGTCCTAGGTTTGGTACAGGTTTTAAATTAACATTTTAAACGTTGCTGATTTCCAAGAATATGAAATGTTTAGAATTTAATAGTCGTGCATTATGATTAAACTCATATGTTTATATCTTTTTCACAAGAATGAAAATTATTTTTTACACAACTATTTATTTTCACTTCAATTTTTATTTTCAATTTTTTTAATTAAATTTTCTTTCTAAAATCATTAAATATCAATTGAACAGATTTATAAAAAGAATATTTTCAAACATAATTGTTCTGATGAAATAATAAGTGGAATATGAAGAGAATAATATAAGGTAACATTTGACCATCACTTGTTAATTAGAAGTTTTAAATACTTTTTATTACTCTCACTCAAACATATATTCTTTATTATTTATATTCTTATATTTCATCCTTAAAGGATGTTCAATCTTGGGATAATACTATAAATTTTGAATTTTTACTTATTTTGGTATCAGAGTTCCTTTTGTAAGTATAACTACCAATTTGAACACCGAAGACTAAAGTTTGGTATCAGAGTCACTTTTGTAAGTATAACCACCAATTAAAACACTAAAGACTGAAGATCGAGAACTTTGGATGAGTACTTTTTCTAGTAAGTGCATTTGGCATCCATTAGGGGGCCATAGAAAACATTTCTACAGTCACTTGCATTAAGAATTATTAAGAATGACAAACAACAGGAAATCTCATCCCAATAAACACTCTCAAATGCAAGTTAAAATCAAAGTATAAAATTTTGGTAGAGAAGATCACATATGAATAAACGCTATCAAGTGCAAGTTAAAATCTAAGTACAAAATCTTGGTAGAAAAAAACTTATTTGAGTAAACATTCTTGGATACAAGTTAAAACTCAAGTATAAAATCTTGGTAGAGAAGATCTTGTTTGAGTAAATGCTTTCTAATGAAAGTTAAATCTAATTATAAAATTTTGGTAGACATGTTCTCATTCGAATAAAACCTCTCAAACGAACTTTTCAGGTATAAAATATTGGCCGACAAGTTCTCATTCGATCGACAAGTTCTTATTTGAGAAGTCAACATATTCTCATTTGAGAAGTTGACATGTTCTCATCTTAGTAAAAACACTCAGATGGATTTCTTAAGTACAAAATATTGTTCGACAAGTTCTCATCTATCTAGTCGACAAGTATGTATCCAAGAAGTTGACATGTTCTCATTCAAGTAAAAACTCTTTTCCCAAGTGTAAAATCTTGGCCAACAAGTTCTCATCCGGTTGACAAGTGCTCATCTGAAAAGTTGACATATTCTCACTCGAATAAAAGTCAAATGAATTTTTTCAAGTATAAAATCTTGACCGACAAGTTTGTAACAGCCCAAATTTTCGCGGGGCCGTGGGCCTAATTCGTTGCCTGGAACGGGCTGTTTCGAAAGTGAAACGGGCCGTTCCGGAATAAAGAATTTGCCTAAAAAATGTAGTTGAGAACGGGCCGTTCTGGTTGGAGAACGGGCCGTTCTGGTTGGAGAACGGGTCGTTCTAGTTTGGAGAACGGGCCGTTCTGCTGGGTTTTGGAACGGGCCGTTTCAATTGAGATTTTTGCTTGGTTCTGGAGGGTCCAGAACGGCCGTTCCACTTTTGGAACGGGCCGTTCCGGATTAGCTGAGGCAGATTCCTATAAATAGGAGGCCTTACCTCTCATTTTCTCACATCTCTCATTCTCTCTTCCTATTCTCTTCTGTTCTTTCTTCTTCCCCTCTTCTTCTCTCTGAAGACCATGGGGCACTTAGAGGAGGAGACCAAGAGATCCCTGTTGTAGTTTCAACTGCTGTTTATCCATGTACGGGGGAAAAAGGGAATTATTTATATGTAGAGTTACATGAGGGAATTGGGTAGAGGAAGAATCCTTTAGGATTATGAGCAATTTTATAATTATTTCTGTTTGGAGAATTATTGGTCTTATGTGATTCTGTATGAATTTAGGATTACGAATATATGATTTATTTGTAAAAATGATGCTCTGGGAGAGAGAACGAAATTATAGAAAAGTCCCTGTAGGCTAGGTTTTGGAAAAAATTGAAATATTTCTGTTTTAGGAATTAATGATACCATTAGATTCTGTATGTGTTGAGGATTAGAAATATATATTTAATTTGTAAGAATGATGATCTGAGAGGGAGAACGAAACTGTAGAAAAGTGTCTGTGAGTTAGGTTTTGAAAGAATTGGGGGTTTTATTGTTTATGTTAAAGTTATATGAAATTTGATAATTTTATTGTTTATAATATTAATTTATGAATGTTATTATTGTATTGATTGATAAGAATGAACGATCTTGATGTGAATTACTTGAGGGGTGTGTAAAGCCGATCTAAAATTAAATAAAAATCATGGTTATTTATAATTTAAATTTGAATTTTTAATAGGGTTTGTAAATTTAAAATCGTTCAAAAAAATAATGAAGAAAAATAGAAATCATTGTTAAAAAGTACTAAACTTACATATGTAGTTAAAAAGTACTAAACTTACGAAGTGTCTCGGCCCCGCTAGTAGTTAATTATTGTTTTGTCTTTAGTATGCAACATACCAATTATTGAGAAATACCCATAAAATTACCCACCATGATGAGAATTTAGAAGAGAGGAATAATACAAACCTTACACCGTGGATCCCGAATTGATAAAGCCTAATTCCGTTGGCCTTCAAGAAATCCGTTGTGGACTCTGGATACGGTTCAAGACACAAACAATTTGTAAATTTAAAATCGTTCAAAAAAATAATGAAGAAAAATAGAAATCATTGTTAAAAAGTACTAAACTTACATATGTAGTTAAAAAGTACTAAACTTACGAAGTGTCTCGGCCCCGCTAGTAGTTAATTATTGTTTTGTCTTTAGTATGCAACATACCAATTATTGAGAAATACCCATAAAATTACCCACCATGATGAGAATTTAGAAGAGAGGAATAATACAAACCTTACACCGTGGATCCCGAATTGATAAAGCCTAATTCCGTTGGCCTTCAAGAAATCCGTTGTGGACTCTGGATACGGTTCAAGACACAAACAAACATTAGGCTTTTAAATTCTTTATTTTCTCAACAAAAAGATGAAGATGAAAAATAATTTTTTTTTACTATGTTACATAAAAATATCAACGATGATGAGAATTTAGAAGAGAGGAATAATATAATAATGAGTTAACATTATTTATTTTACAAAATGACCAAATTTAATATTTACTCTATAAATTATTAAGATAATTACATGGTATAAAAATGACTAAACTTAATAATTTATTGTAGAATTATTTTGAATTTTAAATTTTAAATTTTTTATTAAATCAAAATTTAAAATTAATAACTTTAATTAATTTATTTAAAATTTTGAATATATTTATTTGATTCTAAGTTTTAAAATGAATATTTGAAATTTTCACAGTATTAAAAATTAAATAAAAATCATGGTTATTTATAATTTAAATTTGAATTTTTAATAGGGTTTGTAAATTTAAAATCGTTCAAAAAAATAATGAAGAAAAATAGAAATCATTGTTAAAAAGTACTAAACTTACATATGTAGTTAAAAAGTACTAAACTTACGAAGTGTCTCGGCCCCGCTAGTAGTTAATTATTGTTTTGTCTTTAGTATGCAACATACCAATTATTGAGAAATACCCATAAAATTACCCACCATGATGAGAATTTAGAAGAGAGGAATAATACAAACCTTACACCGTGGATCCCGAATTGATAAAGCCTAATTCCGTTGGCCTTCAAGAAATCCGTTGTGGACTCTGGATACGGTTCAAGACACAAACAAACATTAGGCTTTTAAATTCTTTATTTTCTCAACAAAAAGATGAAGATGGTTGGTGTGTGAAGTCTTATAAAAGTCAAAATGAGAGAAAGCTGATGTCTGCCTTTGAGATTATATATTATCCCCACAAATGAGATTAGTCATCATAGAGGCAATCCAGATCGGAACTAAGTATAAACACTTGGGTAAATTTCCTAAGTTCTCATCCAGTTGACAAGTGCTCATCTGAAAAGTTGACATATTCTCACTCGAATAAAAGTCAAATAAATTTTTTCAAGTATAAAATCTTGACCGACAAGTTCTTATCCGAAAAGTCGACATGTTCTAATTTGAGAAAAAACTCCCGAATGTATTTCTCAAGTATATGATCTTGGTCGACAAGTTGTCACCCGAGAAATCGACATGTTCTTGTTCAAGTAAAAACACTTGGGTAAATTTCCTAAGTATAAACACTTGGGTAAATTTCCTAAGTATAAACACTTGGGTAAATTTCCTAAGTTCTCATCCGGTTGACAAGTGCTCATCTGAAAAGTTGACATATTCTGAATTTTTTCAAGTATAAAATCTTGACTGACAAGTTCTTATCTAAAAAGTAGACATGTTCTAATTTGAGAAAAAACTCTCAAATGTATTTCTCAAGTATAAGATCTTGGTCGACAAGTTGTCACCCGAGAAATCGACATGTTCTTGTTCAAGTAAAAACACTTGGGTAAATTTCCTAAGTATAAAATCCAATTATAAAATCTTAATTGTATTGACCGGATACAACTTCCAATCAATAAATTTTAGTTAACTATTTTTAACAATTCACTCCAATTAGAAAGTTCCACTTGAGAAGGTGGCTACTACTTATATGTTTTAAACAATTAAACCTCTTTTTTCATAGACTCAAGGCTTGGGGATATGACCAAATAATAAATGGAATATGAGAAGAAAGACATGATATAATGTCCGACCATTATTTATTAACTAAATTTTTAAATTTTTTATTACTTTCATACAAATGGTAATGTATCATCTATTACTTATATTTTGTACACTTCAAATATTTGTTTTCTTTGACATCAAAATTTCTTTTGCAGGTAGAATCATAACCACCAATTTGAATGTTGAAGACTTTTTTTTAGGTGGAATCACCAATTTGAACACTAAAGACCATTGTCTTTAAATGAATAGCTTCAATAAGTACAATAATATTTTTTCAAAATGTGATTCTTACAATTTAATATTATACCTCAAAACAAATAATTAAATTGATGAAATTATAATTTAACTCAATAATTTTATAATTTAACTCAATAATTTGTAAGGGTTAAAAAGTTGCATCAAGTTGAGTTTATAAGAGACTAATTTCTCATAAAATAGTGAATAAAGTAGTTGCTTTGAGAGATGAGTAATGGTACCCAAATTTAATCTTTAGGGAGAGTCCTTTGGTCCTCTTAAAAACTAAGCCAACACCTTGAATGAGTTAGTTTTACAGACCAAGGATTATGATTTGGGTAAAATTTACCAGTTACTTCCTCACAATGTAATTGATTGTATTCGAGCCATGGTGCCTCCATCTTCTTCACAATGCAGTTGATTGTATTGGAGAGATACCACTAATCATAATAGTAAGAGTGAGGTTAACTATTCTTTGTTCCCGTTGGAAACAATTCAAAGGAGAATAGGAATTGAAAACACCTCTGAAATGTATTAATTTCCAGAATTAGTGTTCTGCATTCAGTCACAATACTACTACTATTACTACTATGAGACGTTCTGAGCGAACAGTACAATTCTCTCTCACAAATCAAGCACAACTCTAACCTTAACCAAAATTCATCCTTTGACAACAGCCATATACACAAATCACTATCATTAAATACATGTAATATATACCAAAAACTAAAAAATAAATATAATGTAGGTAGTAGTAGTAGCAAGGATTCGGCTCTGCACAGCTCAGCTCAGGCTCACTTTGCCTTGATTGGCCCCAAGCGGCAGCTAACCCAAAACCACAAACTTAAAAACTCACATCAAATATCAATCCCACAATCAAATCTAACTTTGGATTTTGTTTCTCCTTTTAGCAGCTGGAAGACAAAGTGGATAAAGTAGTGGCAGAGGAGGTTCTGCTGGGTGAGGGCGAGGCATTCTTGAAAACCACTGTTGGTAGAATGCTGTTTTTTCTTCTCTCTTGTTCCTTAATTAACTCTCCCGCGAACAACTCTATCTTGTCCAAGTTGGTGTTCTCCACCACCTTCTTCCCCTTAAACAACACAGACTCCATATTCTTCTGGGCCAACATCTCCTCCGAAACGGCCAACAAATCCGACGCCGTATTGCAGGACTTCACCTTGTTCGCGTTTGCCATGATCCCGTTTGACTGAACACGCACATAATTGCTCATCCGACACTCACCAAATGCCATCGACACGGCTTGATCAACCTGCATTATTTTATTTTCACTCCCATTAGAATACATATCTAAACCAATCATTAAAGTAAACCAACTCATACAACTTTTTTATATCCTATGTGTTTGTTCGCTAGTTAACTACCAATCCCATTTACAATTATAATAATTAAGTATTTTACCACTTTATATAAACTACAATTATTAATAAACTCTTTTAAAAATAAGAATTCACATGAAATATAATAACTAAATTCGGTAATTCTTACCGTATCGGAAGCTCCTTCGCCAGCGATCCTTACGAAGCCAGAGGGTGACTTAACGGCGTTAAAGTCAGACTCTCCGTTACCGAGGGAGAGAACGAGAAGGTCGGAGACGGCGTTACAGAACGGAAACTCGTGTTTGTTATTGAGCACGTGCGTGATGGCAGCAGCCGTAGGATTGTTCATCGCAACGCCTCCATCGACGGCCAGGATCCTGGTCCTGCCGTCGACCGACCGCATCTCGGTGGGGCCCGCGAGGGAGGGGTCCGCTGACGTGGCAGCGCACACGTCGCGCATCATGAAATCGTAGCCGTCCATTTCCAGCGCGTCGGCGCGCGAGAAAACGAACGGCGCGCGCGTCACGAGGTCGTAGCACGGGATCAGCACCGGCTTCACCGTGTCCTTCAGCGTGCACTCTCCGAACGTCTTCCGGAAGAGCCTCTCCGCCTTCGCCGCCGGACGGAGCACTCGCCGGAGGAATCCCGGCCGCCGCGAGATCCTGCGCCGGTTGTCGGTCAGGAACCGGAGCGCCTCCTCGGCCGTGAACAGCGGCTGCCCGTCCTTCCCGCGCGTGAAGAGCAGAGCGGCGAGCACGCCGCCCACGCCGGACCCCGCGGCGGCGTCGAAGAAGCCGGCGACGCGCGCGTTCGCGTCGCCGGACTTGCGGCGGAGGCAGGCCTCGAGGTGCGCGAGGGACTTGGCGGCGAGGATGCCGTCGGTGGCGCCGGCGCCGTCAATGCAGAGGATCCGGACCTTTCCGGCGGCGTTCTTCGGCGGTTTCGCGTCCTTGGGCGGAAAATTGACCGAGTTGGGAAGCGAATTGGTTCGATTCTCTGCGTCGTTGTAGCCGAATAGGAAATTGTTCTCGAGAATGGAGAAGATTTCGTAGGTTAGCTTGTCGACTTGGAAATTAGAGTCAATCATGTTGAGGCTCATTGGAGATGTGGACATTGCCGCCATTTCTGCGATTGGAGTGAAGCTTTTTGATTTTGTTATGAGAGAGAAAGAAAAAGGTTTCGAAGAAGCAAAAGCTTTGTTTGCGTTTGTGTCTGTGTTTGTGTTGGTTCAAGATTTGTGATGACCACGAAAGCAGTGGAAGGTGGGTTTTTATAGTGAGCAATCAGAGTGAGTGAATGTTACGATCCAAGAACATTCCCAAGGTGGGCGATTAATCGCCACGCCAATTCTACTTTTTTTTTAATTCTCAATTTAATATTCAATAAAATTTTACCTTTTTTTTTAATTTATAAAATACAAATTTTGTTAATTAAAGTGAAATCACTTCTTTACTATTTGATATTTAATTTCTTTAATTAAAGATATCTTGGGATAATTAATAATTAAATATGCTTTGAAAGTGAAACTCCATTGTAATGGGGGAATTGGATTAAATTATGTTAAAAACTGCATTTATACTTTGTGGTTTAACATTGGAGGGAATTGTATTTGAGATGGGTGAAACGGATGGGTAAAATAAAATGAAAAAGAAAAGTGGTGCGTTGAAAAGAAAGAAAAATTAGAAGAGCAGAAACAAAGTTGCAATTCAACGACTTTATGCTACAACGATGGTGTGTATGAATTTAAAATTTCGTGGGTGGGTACAGTCTTTGGTTGGTCTCTTCTTCTTTTTGTGTTGCACCTTTTCTTCCCTCCTGTTGCTTTATTCCGGTTGCTTTCGTTTCAGATTATAAATTTTAAACCTTAGTTGGGGGGAATGTCATGCTGTTACGGAAGTCTCTTCCTCTTAGTCTTTTTTTTTTTTTTTTTTTGGTTCCTGGAGTATCCACCGATAGGTGTAATGAATCTCCTCGCTACGAGGGAGGCACCTCAAAGGGTGGGATAGCTGGTCCCAAGATTTAACACGGCTGCATACACAAGGCAAGATTCGAACCCCTGACCTTACTTAAGCGTGGATCAACCCCTACCACTGAACCACGTTTCTTCCTCTTATTCTAATACTACCATTTCATCAATATTATATCATTTTGTGTTTACCATTCTTTAATTAAGTGTTTACTATTTGTTAGATAATATCTAATTCCTCTCTCTTTAATTAAGTGTTTACTATTTGTTAGATAATATCTAATTCCTCTCAATTTAATTAAGTGTTTACTATTTGTTAGATAATATCTAATTCCTCTCAATTTAATTAAGTGTTTACTATTTGTTAGATAATATCTAATTCCTCTCGATAAGGATTTAATTAAATTCTTACAAAACCATAATCATACTTCTTTCTTTTAGAAGTGTTTATAAGAAAATTTATCCAAACAAATTCTTTCTCAATAAAATTTGATCAAGATGACAAATTTATTAAATTAGAAATGTTTTTTTACTATTTAATAATTGCGATATATTTTCGCTAAATTATGAAGATGTGTCTCAATAACATAACTTCTTAATAAGGTCACTCATAAAGTTCATCAAGATAAATATGTTTTATTTGAAGAATAGTTCTAAATTATAGAGAGAATATCATAGATGAAAAAGAACATATTCTTATAACAATTGTTTAAAATTCCTTTATTTTGTGAAACGTATCAATCTCTATTAAGTCTGACTGATTGGGGTAGCGGGAAACAAGTTTAAAAATAATGTTAAGGTAAAAATATATATATGAGTTTTTTAATAAAGAAACACAAAATATCGTCCTAAGTCGAAAGAATTGATTCACATAAGCAGAAATTATTTTAGAAAAAATTATTTTTTCCTCCACTTAAATATTTTTTAAAATAAAATTATCTTATCATTAAGATTTCTTTCTGTACTTGTTTTTATTTCTAATAATTTATTCTTAATTTATCAAAGATTTGGAAAAATAAGATAACATCCTTTTTGAAATGGTATTATAACATCATTTTGAAAATAGTATTTGTTTTTGAAAATAAAGTTATATCTTTTGAAAATTAAGAAATTATCTTATCAATAGGAATTCTTTATGTATCTGTTTTTATTTCTAATAATTTATTCCTTAATTCATTAATGTTTTGTAAAAATAAGATAATATGATATTTTTAAATAAGATCTATTTTTAAAACAAAAGTTTAAATCTTGCTAGAGATTTATGATTGATTTCAACTCTTTTCATATCTTAAAATTTTGGTACAAAATTTATTTAATACCTTTCTATATCTAAATCATATATATAGGGATTTTGTTTCGAAGTGGATTATTCTTTTATATATATATAAAATAATTTCTAAAATTAATTTCTATATATTAAATACGAATAATTATTGAAATGATTTATAATTTTTTTTTAATTTTTAATCCAATTTCTTTTCTTCTTTATTTTGTTTTTGTTTTATTTCTTCAGTATTTGGGTGTGTGTAACCGAACACCGGTTTGGTCGATCAAAGATATGGGGATGGAGTTAAAGAGGAAAGTCATAAAATATATTTATGAGGACAAAGGATCGAGAAAACGGAGTGTCGGTTATTGGGTAGAAATTCCAGTTGTGTGAATTTTATTGGTTGGTATGCGTCATTGGGTTTAACAGTTCATAAATAATAAATAAAACAGATTTTTCTCAAATTGTTAGCTGCAGTGCAGAAATGCTAAACAAAACGTCAAAAGCAAGAAAAAAAAAATATATGTCCGTAAAGAGTTGTTGTCACATTTTTCTTCTTTTTCTTTTTTTAGAAATTGTTGTTGTCACATCTGTAAAAGTTTAAGTGGTGGTTACTTTTTTCTTTAATGAAAATATTTATGGTTCGAATTCTGTTATTATTTTTTTATAATAATACTTTTTATTAATATTATTTTATATTTTTAATCTATTTTTTATGGGTCTTCTAATACTTAAATCCTTAATTCACTTTATGAGCTCTACATTTTTATTTAAATAAAAATATTTAAAAATATATTTTTTTTTATTGATAATAACCGATTTCGAAGGTTCTTATATAAGAACGATTCTAAATCATTAGTGGGGTAGAGGCACAAAGTATCTCTAATAGTTATTCACTAATAAAATATTAGAATCTCAAAATCAATTAGTTTACTCTATCCCTTTATGATGTCTTCATACCTCTCAAAAGTATAATAAACAGATAAATGAAAAGCCCGGAAAGCGGTATCCTTATCCAAAAATCAAACCTCAACACTGTTACTCTCTCCTCTTATCACATCTTCAACCTCTTATTTAAATTAGAATCTTCATCTTAATTATAATCTAGCATAATAAACTTCAACAATCTTAATTCTATAATTTATTATAAGTTAAATTATTTATTGTTTTCTCTATAATTTTTACGAAAATATATGTATCACTAACTGGTTCTTCATTGATCATGTTTAATGATGCCGGATT